TCAGCAGTGAGATGCGGTGGTCAAGAGGGTGAACGCCACCCTTGGTTGCATAGCCTGAAGTGTGGCTTCTAGATCAAGAGAGGTATTACTACCACTCTACATGACTCTGGTGCGCCCGCAACTGGAGTATTTTGTTCAATTTTGGGCTCCTCATTACAGAAAGTATATAGCCAGGTTGGAGCCAGTGCAGCGTAGGGCCACAAGGTTGGTGGCCGGTTTGCAGGGGATGGGGTATGCGGCGAGACTGAGGGAACTGGGTCTCTTCAGCCTGGAGAAGAGGAGACTCAGAGGGGATATGTTGGCGACATACAGGTATGTGAGGGGATGTCACATGGAGATGGGTAGAGACCTGTTCTCCCTTGCAGAGGAAGGCAGGATGTGCTCCAACAGAGCAAAGCTCAGGGAGCCAAGGTTCCATTTGGATGCCAGGAAGCACTTCCTGACAGTCAGGACCCCGAGGGTGTGGAATGGGCTTCCACGAGAGGTTGTTGAGGCCCCATCAATGTGGGTGTTCAAGGATAGGCTGGACGTCCACATGGTGGGCATGTCTTGAGCGGAGCCGGCTGGTGCCGGAGGTCAGACTAGATGGCCCGGGAGACCCTTTCTGACTCGCTCTGTTTCTATGTTTCTATGTTTCTCTAATATATTTATGGCAGAGTATCCTATAATGAGATAGTAAACCAAATAAATTGTGGCATATAATGAATTGTCAGGTGAAGCTATTTCTCAGAGTTCTGTAAAATGTATGGATTACTAGCCATGAGCCAAAGGCTAAAAAACAAGCAAACAACCTGTAAACCCAGCATCCTGTGAACACTACTGTATGAGGGCAAAAAAGAAGAATTAATCTTAAAATGTATTGGTAATTCCTCACCCATAGCTTTTTTGGAAGACAGTGTTAGTAAGCCAGTTCCTGCGGGGAGTCAAGAAGACTGGGCTGGCTGCAAAATATATTTTAAAAATAAAAAATAAACGATGGCATGTGCAGAAGGAGTGGAGCAAGTTTGAAAGCACAGTTCCTCCTATAATGCATCCCGCTTTGCCAGTTTCCTTGATACCCTCCAAAGTGCAGTCTGGGTTTCACTGGTTACCTTTCTCTAGAACTGTGTTATGTAGAATGTTTCACCTTCTTGGCCCAATTTGGGCAAATGACTCATGGTGTTTTTCACCTGCAGTGCACCAACCTGTTGCAGTTTTTAATACAATGATGACCCATGTAGGGCAGGATGACAGCTGCAAAGGGTTTAAGCAAAGGAAACAGAAATTCAGTGAGCACTGGTTAAGATGAAGGGAGGCTGCCTCAGAACTGCCGCTTTCAAGGGGATGGCAGGAAATTGACCGGACCTCCATTTGGGATTTCCTTGACTCACCTACACAAAGCCAAGAGGCCCTCGGGACAGCGATGTGGCAGGCCTTCCTTGGTACATGAACGGGGGACCAAAGTAGGTGAAAGTCTAGCCAGGGCAGCTGACCCAACAAGACTGGTATAGAATGAGGAGTGCTCCTCTGTCTCCAGGCACCAGCAGGAGGTGGAAGGAGACGGTTCTTTCTCTGCTGCTCTTTGCCCATTGCAGAGCTTTTTGGTTGGTCTAAGTGGTTGGTCCTTAAAGTCCTCAGCTATGTGCTCTCTCTCTATTCTGGAAATGTGCCTGCAATTAGTAACCAATTATGTTGAAAAACATAATGATATATACTCCCAATACAGCAACGAATTGTATATCTGCTGCTTTCAATAACATGTTTTTGTTCTGTTGGAGTATACAGAAGGATACTTCATTACTTCTCCACTTGGGCTTAAACACATGTGATATAGAAAGGATTTTGATGAAGATGGCAAGAAAATATTTCCCTGCATATTTTGTGGTTGAAATATATAAAAGTATACTTCAAAAATAATTTTTATTATCTTTTCAAAATCCTTCATGAATCACAAGTATTTAAGACCCTGACAGGTGCTATGGGCCTGCTCTTTTAACCAAAAATATCAATTGCATAATCTATGCAAAGGCATAAGTTTCATTAAGTTCAGTAGAACATACTTCCAAGTGAGCACTTTTCAGATTTAAGTCTTGGAAATTCAAATATAATCCCCCCCTCCATTGTAGAACAAACCCCATGAAAAGGAGACACGATTGCTTACAAATCAAAATGCTTAGGATTTTGTTGTTCTCCTCAAAATCCCTCCTGAGCAATCCTCTTGAGAAAAAAAGCTAATGCTCCCAGAAACCAAGAGCACCTCAGTTCAACCACAGCCACTAGACCAGGAGCTTGGTTCCTTAGGAGACAAGCTGCAAGTCTGTCCCTGTTTAGGGAACTCTGTGCTGAGGTCGAGACTGAGCCACACCCTGGCCCTCAGGAACATCAACACAAGTGGCAGGCAAGTCGGCCGCTATTGGGAGTGAGAGGAACAGTTGCTCTTGATGCTCATTTCCAAGGGCCCCTGACTGGGACTCAGAGGAGAAAGAGGAGGAGGGAGCTTTGAAATGTGGGCCAATTCCAGACATTGAGATGGGAAAAGTGGGCATGCTTATCTCAAGGCCAGAATCCCGAGGCATGCAGACAGCCTCTGAGGATAATGAAGATGTGCAGTGATTGAAAGGGGGCTTGGAATAGGGGCGTTTTTCAGAGACAGACAAAACAGGTATGGCTCTTCATGACACAACAATGGCAGAAGAGGGCAACCCAATTAGAGAATCGACATGCAGAGAAGAGGCATGCCCATTCCAAAAGGCCTCTCCCAAAAGGATGGGGCCCAGGAAAGCTAATAAGGGGAGTTCCTAGAAGGAACTACATTGGGTTCAATGCTCAGAGATTCTTCCTGGCTGTTTGTGCTTCTGGAAAACCCTTTGGTCAATAAAGAACTTTTTGGAAGAAACATCTGCGGCTTTGAATGTGTGAAGGGAGAAAACCTTGCTCACTACAACAAGTACCCCAAGCTGCCATCTGAAAGAGTGCTCACTTGCACTGCCAAGAAGGACTCTTCAGGAGAAAGCAAAGCTTCATGAGCAGGGCTTTTTCCAGAGAGCTCTAATGTAGTACAGCTGAGTCTTTGATGGGGCTGAGCAGGTTCTGGAAATAAAATCACTCAGTATCTGCCTGGCTGTTGCTGGAAACAGTGCTGTTCTTTCAGCTCCAGTGCCTCATCTGTTTTGCTATAATGGTTATTCTTTAAAATTAACAATATAATTGTTATAATTTTCCTATAATTGTTTCTTGTGAGCTGCTCAAAGAGCTCTTGAGCTATGGGACAACATACAAATGCAATAAATAAGTGATGCTCCTTGATTCTGACCTTTGGATTCTTGCTGGATTCTGCTCCTCAGCTGTGTAGCAAATCTAACAGTAATTTCACCTCTGCCTGCTACCTTGACTACTCCTGCTTAACCTGAACCCCCCTAGAATGCAACCTTTGTGTCTGAACATTTGCCTGTTTCACTACTTGCTTTTTGGATAGCCCTTTCACTCAGTCTGCTTCAGCCAAAGCAGGACACCCACTATTAAGTAATTAGCTGCTCTCCTTCAGTTTCAGTGGTTTGAGTGGGGCTTATGTTTGCTGTCTTCCCACTAGAGTGCATTCAGCAATCCTAACCCTACTGAGCGCACAGTGTCAATTGCATTGCTTATTAGTCTGGGAAGATACGTCAATTGGCTTGCATATTCAGTAATTCTGATGTGCAGGCCTAATAAAACAAATAAATCAGCAAAAAACACATGTCATACATACATGAGTGATCTGTAGCCATATTGTTCCCTGATGCAGATAATCCTGAGTAAAGCAAAAGCCTGCTTTCCTTTTTAATGAACTCACCAATTCTCTCAGGGTGATAGTACTGGAACGCAGGAGCTTATTACAGCTCTGGAAAATGGGATCAAGAAAAAGAGAGTTCCTAGGTTCAGACTGTGGATGCTCTTCTTTCTTCTGTACTAAATCAGGGCCCTGCTGTGTTGAGCACTGGGCAACCTGTACTCAGTCTTATACTGCCCCACTGCTACTGCCACTGTCCACTAAAAACAAGAATTTGTAGTGTCAGGATAACTGGAAAAATGGGATGGTTCAGCAAAGCTCATAGAAGCAGAGGTCTGTTGGCCTGTTGCAGTCTAGAAACTAGTGTCAGAGCTCATTTCAGAGTATACTTTTGAAAACCATTAGTTCCTGTTGTGCAAGACATCGGTTCCACATGTGGAAGAGGACAGAGGCTCTGTTCACACCATGTGGATTATATAGGCTAAAGGAGGACCAAGCTCTGGTGCCTTAGTGCAAGTGCTCTCTTCATCTTGCTTAAGACCTGGATTTTTTGAAAGTCACTCAGGACAATCTGCCATTAGAGTAACAGGCATATTGCACTGCCTTTTGGGGAGCTGCAGAGAATGTATAGATTGGCCGTCTACAGCTTACATGTGCTCAGATTGGTATCTCCAGATCACCAGTTGGTGTGCGTTTTTTTCTATTTTTTTTAGAATACCAATACCATTGCTTTCCTTTTACCAAATGGCATATAGAATGAGACAAGTGCAAAGCAACTCTGTATGCTTCTTTGTAATATACTGCATTTATCTCTATGCAGTGCACTGGTTTCCACAGGAACAGCAACAAAATAGATGATCAGAAGTAGTGTATACTCTGTGAATGTAATTAAAGATTTCAGTACTTCTAAGCCAGAGAAAGTGGTTTTGTATTTGACAGTTCCTCAGCTTTGGCTTTTGACAACAGCCTAGCTCTGTGTGTCTCTGCAGCAGAGAAAATAAAATGCCACTTGCAAGCTAAGCACAGCTTTCCTACCATTGTCACACTTGTTGAGACAGCTGTCTAATATGGGCCTGCCACAGTCTAAACCTGAATGGTATCAAGAAAGAGAGATAAAGGTAAAAGTGAAAACTGGCCTCCTTTAAAGTAATCAACTACACCCTGCATGCAGTCATACCTAACCTAGGAAACATAATGAGATCAATGTTCTTTCCTAGGTCAGTAGTAATCTGTCCATCTTATTCTTACTCTCTAGACTGAGTGGTGTTAACCTTGAAGTTGCTGATCATTTTTCAACTGGACCAAAAGATGCATCTGCTGTTGAAGTTTGCCAGTGTCCTCCAGAGTATTCGGGTACCTCCTGTGAAGTGAGTTTCTTAATGTAGACTGTTGAGTTATTTCCAGCTGAGTGTTCCTCCCAAATTTGCAAAACCAATGCACAGTGGATCTTTTGAAGAACAGAAAGGAAGCAGGCTTCTTTTGAATTAATTCAGAACACAATCAGCTGCATTTGTATACTTGGAAGCAAATGCTAATAGAGACATTTAAACAAACCAATAAACAATTATTTTTCATGACAGAAAGTTTACTCCTCCTCCACAGCTCCCTTTTTCCTCTTGTGAGTGTAGCCATGATGTTGGCAACCTTTCAGCTCTGATTTTGATTAGCCATTTTATGTCACCAAATCATGACAAATTGTGATTAAGCTCAACTATGGTGTGTTTGAAATAAGCCGTCTTTGGAGTTAAAATCACACACAGTTGACATCACACCCATCTTCATCACAGAGTTAAAATCATGCACAGTTTAGAATCTGAAAGCAAAATGGTTAAAATGGAGGTGAAAGCTCCTCATGGCCCCAGTGGAGGAGAAGAGAAATTGACATACGTGAATCCATGGAAAGACCAAGTTCATTCCCATCATGATAAGTTATGGTTTACTGAGACATCTGAATGGGAATACTATGTTAAATTTAGACTTCTAAATAAGTTTCTATAGGATTGCAGCTTCATTCCACACACACTCACACAGACACACCTACTTACCTTTATATCAAATGGAAGAATCCTATTATTGGGATTCTCTCTCTTCCTTTAAAAAAAAATCACAGCAGTACACAGCCTTGAATTTTCAAGGGCTGATGATTTGATTGCTCATAACAGCAATTGCCACGGACCTGACCCATGTTGCCTTTCTAACGCTGCCATTAAAAAAGAGGGTTCAAAAGTCATAAGTAAGATGTCATCATCATGATGATGATCATTCATTCATGCAGCCTGATTTACCCATATTAACAAACCAAGAGCCAGTCTGAGGAATGCATTTCTCCCTCCACTAAGCAGCCTTGTTGCTCAATGATAGATCTAACCAGCCTTGCCACTCAGCCTGGATCTGAAATCATGGTTTAAAGGGGATTCTTGTAGTTCCTAGATTAATTCTGGTTAGAAGTAGGTGAGAATTTGGTTCAGTGTGTTTTTTGATAAGGATATCTGAAGGTATTCTCATAAGTGGGAGAAAGCAAAACTGACAGATTTCTCAATCAAGGCGGGCTGTAAGGGCTTTTCTAGACTAGGTTTATATTGAGCACTCATCATTACTTACTTGTGCTCATTTGCAGGTGGTTTACACCACTGTCATTTCTGTACATGTCTCCCATGCTTCCCAGCAACTTTTCTCAAATGTTTGTTTGTTTTAGGAATGGGGAAAATGTATTGTATTATATTTTTGCAATCCTAAAATGAAACTGGCGCTGTTCACTAGTGCAGTTCTGCCATTGTACTTTTCTCCACTGACACCGCAGTGGGAGTTTTACATGCCCATGACTCCACCTGCCCCTTTAATGCAAAAACAGCAGTCATTATCCCCCCCTCCCCACTAAAATGATGCCATTTAGGTGTCAAGGGCAGGTGTTAATGTCTGTGGATAAACATTTGTACTCTGGAAACCGATTGAAGTTCTGTAAGAGTAGCAGAAAGCAAGCAAGCAAGAAATGTTTCTCAACTTTACTGTGTTATGTATTGTGGGCAGTAAAACATCAACGACAATTGAACCTGTGCTGTTGTTTTCTGGGCACAATGGAGCATATGAAAAAAAATGGGGAGAAGCTATACAGAGTCAGCAGGAAACAATTTCAGTTGTTAGATGCCTCTAAAGTTCATGTAGAAGGATGTACTGAAAGCAACCAAAAAGGGCAAGAAATTCAGACATTATGTCAAACTCACAAATACTCTAGCAGAGGAAGTAGCAAATTTAAAAACCCCATCTTGGGAAACCCTGATTGCTTAGCTCCTAAAACTCTACACCTGAATTATTGTTGATTCAACCACATTTCTCGTGCTTAGTTAGGATTCATTGTTTTCTTACAGACTTCTCATCTTTAACAGCTACATGATAGGCAGAAACAAAACAGCCCTTTCCATGCTGGGAATGCCTATGGTTATTGAATTTGTCCAAGGAAAATAGCTGAAAATTTAATTTCATTCATAGATAGATAGATAGATAGATAGATAGGAACTTGACAAAATCTGCAAATATATTCATAAGAGGATGAAAAGAACATGAGAATTTTAAAAAAATCAAAGTGGGAGAAAGCACAGCAGACATTTTTCTATACTCCTAGATACTTTCTACACAAGGCATTTATTTTTCATTTGTGATTCCTCACAGTGGGTTGTTTGCAGGTGCTTTATACCACATCATCATCCTGTAGAACCCATTCTGTGCTACCATTCTGCATCTTTTTTAAGATTGAGGAAAGTCTGGTGTTATGAGGAAACGGCAGAATGAAATCCTAGCCTTGCTGCACAATTCTGCTTTGGCACAGTGTAACAGAGTGGTTGTGTAATGGAACATTCATGGAAAGACGTAGAAATAAAAAGCCCTGGGAGAATATGTGTAAAGCAGCCACTCATGATCCCTCAAAGAATCTGGAAGAAGTCTGGGTGGGACAGAGAGTTAAAAGCATAATACAGATAAGCCCCTAGTTGTAACTAAGGATGTTTGAGCCACTGTAGTATAGTGGTTAGACTGTTGGCCTGGGAATTGGGAGATCTAGTCACTACTTGGCCAACTGGGCCACGCTTAGTCATACGTGGTCACTCTGATTCACTGGATGGCTTTGGGCCAGTCACTGACTCTCAGACTAGCCCACCACGGTCATTGTGAAGAAAAATGAAGCGGAAGAGGCAAATTATGTAAGACTCCTTGCGGTGCTTTTAGGCAAAATGGTAGGATGCAAAGTTAATAAATAAATAAATGGCTGTACATAACCTCTGGCTTCCAAAAATTAGCCACTTTTTATAGGTCAGATATATTACATCTTAACTTATCCAGGAAATGTGGTTTGGAAAGAGAGAAAATATATAAGAAAGATCCAGGATTGCCATTTGTTTTTCCTTATGTGGGTTTAGAACCTGATGTAGCATATTTCATACTGACTGCAATGGTATAAGCCATTTCATTGTTAAGGGGCTTACTCAAGATCCAGGTAAAGTTGTCATTCAGTAGACCTAATTGATTGCTCAATTGTCACTAAATTTTTGCCTCAATAATTTATAGAAATCTTCCAAACCTTTTGTTTATTTGGCCTTCTCATTTACAAATAACGGAATGTTGGTTTTGAACTGAGGCATTTATAAGGAAAACTGCAATCTATGCTCATCTGGGATATAAGCCCCTCTGAGTTCTATCTGGGGAGACATCAATAGGATTGCCCTGCAAGAGTTTCAGACAACAATTTCCTTATCATACATATAAATGTATTATTGTCTGTTATCACTTCATGATGAGATGTTACCATTTTTAGAAGCTCTGCATAATCAAGATATGAACCATGTTTGATTATTAAAAAGTAAAGTGCACCCTCCTTGCTTGGGCTGATAGTTTGCCTACAGTTGGTATGATTGCCTCCTATTTCTTGCAATGCTTGCTTCACTGGTTTAGAGACTGCAACCTTGTTTAAGGTTATAAATGCAATTTTCCCAGATTTCCAGTATTTTTATCCAAATGCTGCCTCACATATTCTCTGAGTGTGCACATTGAGTGCACATATGCTTAACTGACTTGTCAAGGCATTGCTTGCGGTGTCTTGGAATGCAAAATTCTTCGAAACCATGCCTCTAAGGAAACATTTTAAAACACAAAGATGTTCTGTTTCACAAGACTATAAACAATATGCCATTTATATAGGCACTCTAGGCATTTACTTGTCAGATCTCTTCTTCTTTAAAGGACACTGTGATTTTATATATAGTATTTAGGACTTGGCGCCTAAAGTCTTAAATGTTTTCAGTTGTTTCGTAATATTAATGTACAAACAAAACCAAAGGCAGTTCATAATGGTCTTGGAGGTTTTTGTTTGACTATTCAATAATCTGTTTGACCAGAAAATACAGTGGACCAAAGAAGTTAATGCATACCTCATCAGTAGTTATTATTTCTTTATCTAATAAAAAATTCCTAAACCACATCTTCATCCAGAAATTGGATTCCAAGGCAGTATTAATAAAAATCCTATTATCCAATACAATATGAAGAGACAATAAACATGAAACAATATAAGATAAACCAGAAATGATATCTCTTCAGACAATATTACTATTATTATTATTATTATTCAGTTTGTATGCTGTTATAATATTCTTATTATAATATTGTAAGCCCATAATATTAACTCCCACTGATAAGCAAGAAACAAAACCATTGGAAACCATTTCGTAGCTGGAGAAACTACAGACTTTGAGACTTGTATGTAAAGTATGCACAACAAGAGTGGTTGTTCAACACCTTGTTTATCCGTGATGTTTATGTTCCCAGTTGCCCCTGTATGCTCAGCTCCCATTTTCTCTTTGATCTCAGCCTTTTTGAATATAATTAAAAACTCACAGTCAAAATATCTACTATTTAACCTGACTCTCATCTGAAGTTCTGACTTGTACATTGAGATCTTTCCATCTTGACCACCATCACTTTCTGTTCTTCCTTGTCATTATAGTTTATCTTTCCCCTTATGGAAACTCTTAGATGAAAGTCCTGTTACCAAGGAGCTCAGCCTTTCAGCTGTTTTAGGTATACCCCTAACACCCTGACTGACCTGTATCTTCTCTAGGATAAGGTATATCAAGTAAAAGTATACAGGTCAACTGGCATACTGGTCAATAAATGATACGTATGTGGGATGCCATTCAGGATCCTCCAGATCATGCAGATGTCTTCTTCTTGGTCAGGCCCTATTATAATCAGGGATTCAAGACATTCACCAAAATACTGGATTTATCCATTTAACAAATTTTGAACAATACCATACAGGCTTTCCACTGAGTTTTTGTTAGGTTTTTTTTGGGGGGCGGGGCTCTTAAAAATGATCCAATTAATCCTAACCCCAACTAAAAACAACAAGCAAAACTCGCATCTCCAGGACTCCTTTGATAAATACTGCTAAACCAACTTTCAGTCCATAATGCAGCTATGGGCCATGGCTTATTCTCCAAAATTCCCTCTGTCATATTAAAATCAATTTCCCCCTCATCCAGGTCTTAGCAGAGATCTATTAGCTGTGCCCACTTCCTGTGATCTGCTTACAACCTTTTTTAAGATCCTTTTTTAAATGCATTTATGTGTCAGTATTGCATACTTCAGAACAGGCTGTCATTGGAAAGCTGGACCCTTTCTACAAAGCAAATAATTTATAGATGTGGTCCCTAGTACTATACTGTGCCCCTCATAGAAAGTCAATGAAAAACTATTTTTGAATTCATTGATTGCATGTATTTGTTAAGAGCATCCTTCCTGCAATTTGAAGTGGGTGAGATAATGCAGTGTTGCTTCTTTACTTGTCCGCCAATGGGCTCAACTCTTTTAATCAGCAGGAAAGGCCTGCTGATACCGAACCCTGTAAATAGTTGAGAGGAAGACAGAAGTTCAAAAGGGAAGGAGAAAATTAACAAAATGAGCTATAGACAGTGCTATAAAATGCTACTATCTTTGACACAGGCATTGAAGTTGTCCTAAGCTTTATTTGGGTAAAAACCAAACATAATAAATCTGATTATTTTCATACATCCTGCTGCTGAGGACATACTTATATAATTTTCTTTGAATGGACTCTAGCTAAAGAATTTCAGTTGTTCTTGTTTGTTTATCATGCAGTGTATATCCTAATTAACTGTATAAATTCAGGATGGCTTTCGTGTTATCATAATGGTTCCCCTAGTTCCCCATAGATATGCTCTTTTTCTAGTATGTTATCTACCATGAATCTTTGAAATGCACAACATTATAGAAATACATGCATACAAGTATTAAGGCTCATAAAAATGGCATATTGAATAAAAGGATATTAATAGACTTGAAACAGAAACATTATGCAGATGTGCTGGTGCAGAAACCTAAAAAATTCTGGATGATATTATACATTTCTTTTGAGAATGTGTGAGCCCTGTCTTTCTGGTTGCTTTTCTTATCTGCAGGCAGTTATACAGAAGCAGCCTGGTCTTGGCTAGCAGAATGTTCAGGACTGTAGAACCATTTATGAAATGCATGGCAGGGGATGTTTCCGTTTGCATTCAACTCTTCACATGAGTAGATGGTGCTCCCACATCTCAAACAGAACATTACTCAGAGTTATGTTCTTTTGAAGCTTGTGAAGCTCCAATAAAGGGCTGTGCATCTGAGGTATTGTCTAGGTCTGCTGGAGAAGGGAGAGACCTGCACCAAACACAGACTTTTCCTATGGTTCTGCCCCCTGCTGTTGCATGCGCATGACCACTACAGTCATGATTGATTACATGGGGGTTTGCTGTGGGTTGTCTATCAGTTGAGAAAAGCCTGAAAAAGACGCATGCAACACGTCTGCCTGTTTGCGATCTTTATCCACTCTTGTGGCATTGAGATAGCAGGTCTCACATCGCTAGATCTGTGTCTAATCAGAGGCATGTTTTCTTTTCAACTGCAAGTTTGCCTTCTGCTTCTTTTAAATGTTTGATCCCAGATAACTTTTGTGATGTTTTAGCGATGATTAGAGGATCAAGAAAAAATCTTTTCCTTTCATTCTCTTTTTCTTTCAGTAATTTTCTAGCTATTTTCAGCCTTATTTTCACTCTTTCATTTCCCTGCTTTTACTTTTCCTTTTCAGAAGAAAGCTCAAGCTAACGCTTCCTTTAGTGTTACACCCACCTATTCGGTTAAGGTCAGTGCCTGGACAGCATGCCAGGAAGGTGTGTTTTTCTAGCAGTGTTTGAATACTGTAGTTGGAATGCCTTATTGTAGTGGTTTTCAAATAGTGCCACTGCTTTAGGGACATACAGGAGCAAGGATTTGGGTGGATGGTACTAAGGTCCAAGAAGGGACCAGGTGGGCAGTGAAAGGGAGGGTCCCTGCTTCCCCACTCACAAGATCTTCATTGAACCAGCTTGGGTTTGTATGAACAGAGTAAACCTTTTGCTCCAGGATCTTTGTCTGGGGAAGAACTGCTGTGTCCCAGCATCACCCCACCATGATGCTGTTCATGCATGGATATAGGAAGAGGTCAGAGATGTCTGCTTTGTGTTCCTTTCTAATGCTAGAATTGATCCATACCTCAAACCAACTGTACATACAGAGGCAGCCCAACATGGAGCACACGCTGCTGTGGAACAAAATGGGTTGGGGAGGGGATAGACAGCAGAATTGTTGAAAGGTTGCTTGATATCAAGCCCCCTCCCCCCTCCCAACTTTTTTTGAGCTGGCAAAATCCACTCCTGTGCTGCATTTCTTTTTTGTTGTCATTACCTATGTAATAACTGTCTGAAAAATATTTCTTCTTCTTCAGTCTTGCAGGTCAAGGTACAGACGAGTTAATGGCACCATCGTTGGTGGAATCTGTAGGCCATGCACATGTTTTGGTCATGCTGAGTCCTGTGATGATATCACTGGAGAATGCCTGGTAAGTGGTTAGTGACAGCACTGAGATCAGTTCAGTATGCCAGTGCTCCTGAATTAACTATCTTGGGGACCATTAGTACTTAGGAAAAGAAGCAGTGATTTGACAGAAGCAATTGTTATACTGAGCTGCATCTGAACCTAAAGAATCTCCAGGTAACTTGATAGTGTAGCTACTGCAAATAAAGTTGAGCCACAAGGCTTCTTTACCTTAGTATGAGCCAATGGGTGTTACAGGAATCAGCGAACTATTTCAGTGTATTTCACAGTGCAGAATGTTCTCAACTCTGTTGTGAGTTTTGCTTTATGTACAGAAGAGTAGTAATTTAATTGTAAATGCTGTTCTAATGCATTATGCAAGTATGACCATTGGGGGATATCAGCAAATCTCACAGAAATCCTTCATACATAAAGGGGAATGGGGAAAGGGACATACTATAGGCGAAAGAGAAAGGTGGCTTTTCCTGAAAGAAAGTATATATTTGCTTTAGCTGCCTATTACTTCAGCAATTAAATGCATTTATTATCCTGAATAATCATGCCCAGTGCGCCTCTGTTTCCAGCCTGCTCAGTAGCTATTTTGAATGGGTGAATTACGCTGAATAGACTGTTCTGATTAACTCAAGGGCATTTTAGTTTTATATTGTCTGACATGGCATGAAGCTTGAAACAACATTTCTCATTTCATTAGTCTTGCAGAAATGCAATTTGAGCCACTGCCAATTTAGTGGGATATCATACTCCAGATTCCCTGCAGTATTCAAACTAACTCTGCATTGTATGTGCTTTTAAATGTTCCTCCCTCCCCTTCTTAATTTTTTCTTCCTAAGGAAAAGCTTCAGGGAAAAATCAAAATGAAAATTCAGGGCTTTTACAATGCAATTTGGCATATGAAATTACCACTGGCCTTCCTGTTTTCCTCTGTACAAGATGTTTAATTGCTCTGCAGTCCTGCATAAGATAGCTGAAATTGGTGGATTGGTGGGTTTTTCAAATAGCTTTTTCATGAATGAATACCTAAAATGACTCACATTAATTCTATACTTAATCTTAAGAAGTACTTAGGAAAAAATGTGTCATCATTGCTACATTCGGAAATACTTCACTTAAATATGGTGAGAGGGGGAAAAAAACCATCTGGCAGAAACTGATTTGTTTTTCCTCACCAGTCTTCAGATAATTTATTTCATCACTTTTTCATGAATTCAGCCTTCCAATGCTAATGTCTAACAAACTAGTTAAGATTTACAACAAAACTAGCTGAAGTTTTGAATTGCCGTGCCTTAGACAACAATTCAACTATTTTCTCACTATAGTAGTGCATGATGGAGTAGAATTCTAGAGCTGCTTGCTCTAGAATTTGCCCTTAAAATAATCTAGCAGACACTCGTATCATCCCCTGTTGCTACCTTATGGCCAAATGAAACACTCTCCTAGTCATGCATAATAGAGCCATGTGCAACTGTATTCCCCACTTTCTTTCAAGCACACACATGGATCAGGACCATGCTGCTTCAGAAAAGGAGGTGATCAGCTTTTCTCTCCAACTTGTTTTTGGTCCAAATTTTTCAGAAAAGCAAAACAAAAAGCAAAGCAAAGCTTGCACTGAACGAGAGTTTCAAGGAGAAAGCACTTCCAGCTCCTTGCTCTTCTATGATAAGGACTGCTTCACACATTGGTTCAACTCAAGTTCAAGGCCAACTCAACTCAGCTACCCCAATGGTATTTCTCTCATTGAATATGACTATGTTCAGTTGAGATAAATGCCACTTGGTGGTAGTTGCAGCTAGCTTATTCCTTAGGTCTCAGCTGGATTTATGGCACAATATCTACTCATAAGTAGGTATCATTGAGCTATGTCGTATTCCCAAAGGAATGTGTAAATGATTGCAACCTTAGTGAGGACTGACTTTAGTTGCATTTGGGTCATTGTGTTATTTAGGTGTACACTTAGTCTACATCTAAAACTGTAATGAGCAACATGGTTATAAATAGATATATCCTGTAAGCTGGCATGAACAACTTCTGGCCCTCGAGCTGTTTTCAGCTAAAATCCCCTCAGCCAAGGCCAATGCTAAAGGATGGTGAGAGTTGTGAAGTCCTGTTGTGAGATTTCAGGCATGTTGTTGCTAGCAGTGCACATCCGCTTCAGAATGAAGCCTGAACTCTGCACTGAAGCAGCCTGTTTCAGAGCAATTCAGGCTTTGTCTGTGGTAGATTGAGGCTTCCCTGAGGCAACTCAGTGGAAAGTAGGCTGCTCCTGGAGCCTGCGAGGTCTGGAAGTTCAGTAAGGCTCAGATTAGCTCAGATTCCCTGTAAAGATAGTTATATCTCTGTGGGTGGGAAGAGAGTGGAAAGAGTGGTCTAGTATGTTGACTGGCAGCTCTAGCCCTCAAACAAGAAATAACTTAACTAGGGCATTCTTTTTGTTTCTGATTCAAGTGCTTTTGGGAGTGATGGAGAAGCAATGACAGATCAGTTGGCGTCCACTGAGCAGAACACAAAACAAATGTCCAAACTATTTCTCTTTCATCATTATTCCCTAACCCAGTTAGGGAAGCTAATAGGGAGACATGCCAGTCTCTGGATTTTCCAAAGAGAGACTCAGACTTGGACTTAAGGTGAAGTGGGTCGTACCTGAAGCAGTTTGTGAAAACAGGTTACTTTCTGTCAGAACTAAATCTTGTATTTGGTATCCATCCCAAGTGATGTGAAGGCTGGGCAGGGAGAATGCCAAAGATTGGAGGAAATGTAGGAGAAAAAAATGGGGGAGGACCCACATTTTCCCCAAATTTTTCAGCCACACTTGACAAAATAGAAAATATGTATTTCCACCTTTTCTCTGAGGCATTTTAAGGCCTTCATACCATTACATTGCTAATATTTACTAGAAACCTGTGGCAAATGCTTAGGAAAAGGCAAAAATGCTGGGAGAAATTCAGCCGTGGTGAAAGTTTCTGCCTCGTGCCTTGGTGGTTCTGACTGACAGAACTCTGATATTGGTTATCTGTGCCCTGGTTATCTGGTAGAAATACCACCCTAGCAAGAAGCCTGGGGAAAACACATCTCTGCTACCAATAACAGGTAGCATCTACCCAATCTGGCTTCATTTATCCTGTGCTTTCTCGGTACCCTTCACAGCAGCATCCAAACATGCACAATATCATCATGTAGAGCACAAGTGCTCAGAAACTAAGTCTTAACAATCTATTTGGGGATTTTGTGTTGGCTGTAAGCGAAGTCAGATTGCTTGGTACTCATGCAGGCTGTTAAATGCTGCAATTCAATTTGGATCATAAGCCTTTTGAAGTGAAAAAGAGAGAGAGAAATTTGAGTGCTGAAGAAAGAGGCATGCTTCACATCAAAGGGATTTTTTTTCCTGTTGAGATGCACTGAGCCTTTTGGCCTTCTCATTACTATTCATGGTGTTTTTTCAGAAATACAACAGACAATTTAGGCAGCTAATTTACTGATATGTTACTTCTTTTGACTCTTCATCTGCTTTGAAATAGACTTGAAAAGAAGCTGAAATATGTTTCTTTGACTCATAATAAGAGCTCAAATCAACGGCTATAACCTAAGTTTCTATTAAAAACCCCATCTCAAACACACATCTTGGAATAACCTGCAAAGCCCTTTGATCCCCAACACGCCCATGGAGGTTGCAGCATTTTACATTCACATTACCACTGTGAGATACATGATAACTGCTTTTGTAAATAGCACAAGCTCAAAACATTAAAAAAAATTTTTGTCATGTTACAGACACACTGTTTCTCACAAAACCTAGGCCCTGACAGGCATTTTGTGGTATTAATATTGTCTGCAGCTCACACAGTGCTTTATGCATGGCTATAATGTAAGAGAATTCTGAGTAATCATCTCCCAGTAGTGAGTTCAGATCTCATAGTCCATTTTCACCTGACTCTGGCTTTGCAACTGGGAGTGTATATCCTGTATATCCTGTATATCCTTCTCCTGTTTCCCCTTTTCTGTGGGACTTAGCAGTTCCTTCTCATTCACTTTCCTAGTTAATGATAACATTCATGTCTTATTGTGGTAACATCTGAATAAATGGTACCATTTTGCTGTTTTATTTACACAGAAGTTTCAGCTTTGCCTACTTTGCCATTTAATCTGCTGTTAAATGTTCCATATATCCTTGATTTAGTCATCCACTTCAGTGCATTCAGAATCTTGGCCCCTTCCCCGCTTAAGCAACAGTAGTTGTTCATTCTAATGCACACTGTGGCAGCACGCAGCACACGGGAGTTGACCTGCTCTGTTGGCTGGAAATATGTATCCAAATACAGAGGAATATGGCACTGAGAGGCATCCATGTTTGAACTTGCATCCTGATGAGCAGTCAGCCTCTGTACTTTTCTCTTCCTCATTCCAATAACTTTATATCCA